TGGATTCGAGGAAAATAACAAATGGGGTTACGTACTAATCAAGGGCTAAGAAAGAAAATCGTTTATAGGTCAGATAATAGTCCAATTGTCCAAACGCATCTCAGAACACTATCCGTCTTGGCTTTTAAAAGGAGAATGTAAGACAATCACTAGTTCCATACAAGAGCATTTAATCAATCGTGGACACACCGCTCCCAAGTATTCTTCCTTTAAACTGATCTACAGAGTCAAAGGAATTGGATCGAAGGGGTGTCGAGTCAATATATTATGCACTGCTGAGGCATTGGCAATTCACGCACTCAAGCCCGAACTTTGCGTGCAGAAACGATTTGTCAAGCCTCTCATCCTTGCTTGGCCCTAATTCCCTTAATAGGTATGTTCCTTTTTTTCTGCACTTTCATTTTTGACTATTATCGAATTTCTTAAAATTACTATTTTGCATTTTAAACCCTAATCAACTATTATTATTATTACCTTATTCAAGTTTGCATGATTATTATTCAGTTTATTATTATGACCTTTGTGTTTGTCGCCTTTCTTCATATTTGTCAATTGGACTATTATCTGACCTATAAACGATTTTCTTCCTTAGCCCTTGATTAGTACGTAACCCCATTTGTTATTTTCCTCGAATCCATTTTGGTGATGCAATTTTTTCTATCCTCCAATAGACATACATTTTCCATATAACTATATATACGAATGTACAGCTTAAGTAAATGATTTCATCGAAGAGAAAAATTTCTTTGCTGAATTCTCTTTTTCTTATAAAATTACAAAATTAAAGCATTTACCATGTGAGTTCTTGAGATCTAACATCCCCAACACTAAGGGTAGACTGTATTGTTTACAAAGGTCTGAGAACTAGTGAGTGTACCAACGTCATGGAATGAGTCGATAGTTATCCCTATCTTAAAAAAAGGTTCATGTCGTTCTTGTAACAACTATCGAATGATAAGTCTACCTCCGATTGCTTCCGTCATTTTTCGTAGGTTGTTCAAAACCCGAGAAAGATTGACTCACATCTAACAGGATGGTTTCCGTTCCGCTCTAGAATGCATTGGTCATATCTTCACCCTCCGCAAAATGTTAGAACACCGTCATACTTCTCAAAGGCCAACAATCTTAGTGTTTCTTGACATCAGGGCTGCCTTCGATTCGTTGGATGGGACTGTTCTCTAAGATTGTCTATTGAAGAAGGCTGTGTCTGAGAAGTTCATTAACATTATTTGCCGACTCTGGGATTAGTTGGAAAAAGAGGAGGTGGCCAGCGTATATTGGAAGTGAAAAGTCAACTGAAGCTCGGTTCCCCAACCTCATTGAGGATCTTGGATTATACAAAATGTGAAGCCGGCGACTCGTTGGAGGAACAGTCAGACACCGTCGTGCTTAGACTGTGTATTTACAAACGAAGAATTTCTAGTTGACAACCTCTCAATTCTGGCTCCCCTGGGGAAAAGCGATCACGCCGTTATAGCCTTCAGTTTTGTCAGCAAAGATTGAGCTAAGATATCCCAACAACAACAGGCGCTGGAATTTCAAACGGTTGAATGTGCCTGCTCTACAGGACTATCCACAACATGTGGGTTGGGATGTTCACCCTCAACTTGATGTGGATGCTCATTGGGACTTCTTACTGCACACGCTCTTATGTGCTACAAAGCAGTCAATTCCCCGAACGGTCCCCAAAATCCACATGCAACCTACAATCATCAAAAATCGCATTCTTCGTTTGTTAAGCCGCAAAAGGCACTGTTAGGCAGAATACAAACGAACTGACAACAACAGCGCATACAGGCAATACAAACATATAAGAAACATATGCACGAAGGCTATAAGAGAAGACAGGCTTCAGTACCAGTTAAAGCTTATGGACAAATTTGTCTCCAATCCGAAAAGCTTATTCCGTTACGCAGCCTCTCTTCGTCAAGCCAAAACTGGAGTTTCTCAACTGCTAGGTCCTAACGGCCCGACCGATAACGACGGCGACGCCGATAACCTTCTGGCTGAGCAATACTCCCGGACATTTCAACCGACCCGCACCAACGATACTGATGACAGCTTCATCTGTAACTGCACAGGACTTTCCGTAGTGCACCTGAGCGCTGACTTGGTGTTCCGAAAACTGCAGCACCTAAGAACAGACACTTATCCTGGCCCATATATGGTTCATTCTGCTATACTAAGGGAAGCATCTTCAATCCTGGCATCACCGCTTAGCGTGATGTTCCCTCACTCACTAAGTCGAGGCAAACTACCGGAAAATTGGAAGCTGGCTCATATCACACCAATCTTCTAATGAGGTCGACTCAGCGAACCTTCAAGTTACCGACCGGTAGCTCTTCTTTCTATACCTTCAAGGATCATGGAGTCCCTGATATACGATGGTATACATGACTATCTGCTGTCCTTAAATTTCTTCCCACCCCAGCAGAATGGTTTCAGGAAGGGTTACTCCTGTATGACGAACCTGCTGACTGCGGTGGACAGATGGACGAGCATCTTTGATTTCCAAAAAACTTTTGATAGGGTTAACCATGTCTTGTCAATAAGCTCAGACAATTGGGTATCAGACCACGCCTAAATGATTGGCTCAGTTCATATCTGACAAGTCGACATTTTAAGGTCAAAGTAAACCTCAATTTATCACAGGCCATGGAATGTCCTAGTGGGTTCCCCAGGGCTCAGTACTAGGACCTCTTCTCCTCTTGATTTATATAAATGATCTTCCTCAACAGCTATCGTCAGACTTATTACTTTTTGCCGATGACGTGAAACTCTGGAGAGAGATACGTGGCCGAGTGAACATACTGGCACTTCAGGAGGATCTGACTCAACTTCAAAGTTGGGCAGACGATAACGGACTTACCTTTAACACTTCAAAGTGTAAAATAGTCCATCTGCGACATGTCGCAGACTACAGTTACAACTTAGGAAACTCCTCTCTAGTAGTATCCCGAGTCGAAAAACATTTAGGAGTCCTGGTGCCCTACGACTTAAAGTCTTACGCTAACTGTGACAGAAATTCCTTTCGAGCAAACCTTGCACTGGTAACATTGAAGCGCATTTTTGGTCAGTTTGATGGGAGAACTTTCCACATAATCTTCGATAGTTTTATTAGTCCCCATTTAGAGTACGGTAACACAATATTCCCTCCTACACTCCAAAAGAATAAGGACACTCTGGAGCGTATCCAACGGCGAGCCACGGAATCAGTTCGGGGACTCCAATCACTCGACCTTTACTCATTAGAGTATAGGCGTCTGGGAAGTGACCTTCTGATGGCTTACAGTATCCTTAACACTTCTGGACATCCTCTCAAACACCTACCTAAGCTTAGTCCCAATACTAACCCAAGGGGTAGCACCCAGAAATTGGAGGTACAACATAGCAGAACGGACTGCAGACACAACTTCCACTCCTTAAGAGTTGTCAAATGCTGGAATTCTCTGCCGGCTGAGCTAGTGCAAGCGCCTTCCCAGGAGTCCTTTAAGAAGCGACTTGATCTATTCTTAAGGACTAAGGATAGTATTTTACTATGATTTACCAATCTCTTTTCTCTTTTATCGTTAATATACCTAGGTTCTTGCCTGTAGGTGTTGGTGATCCCCTGCTACTAAACACGGAAGCCTGTTAATCGAAAGCTTCTTCTATTCCATTCACAACCATCTGAACCATGCCGGAGGTAGCTGGTCGCGACGTAATTAACTTGAGTCCAGGCATATATATATATATATTAAGCGAATGCAAAAAATGTAATGAATTTATTGCGTTTTGTAAATACTGTAGTTTTCACTTTGTTCAAATAAAAAATTGTGGATACTAGTCCGTTAGAATATGTTTCAAAAATTTTAAATTAATAAAACTGGTATAGATGAACATCGGCGAATAAAATTTGGAATATTTTAAATAAATCATGGATCGTCTTTGGTGTGATATACCTTGGCAAATGTTTAGTAGGGCCTTTAAAAACATCTATTTAAAAATGTTCGTAAATATTAACGAATCATATATTATACTACTGACTATCACTTACCTACTTCCTATCCTCGCTTAACACCCAAACATAATATGCATGGGAATGGATTACTCAAATAATATTCACAGCACTATCAATAAGATGAGTGATTTTATTTTAGCGACAACTGCAAGTTTACTGAGACAGCATTGTGATATTGAAAACAAGGCTGAAAGCTGAGCCTTTCAAAATCAACCATTTTATCCGAAATTTAGTCGCTATTGACATTTATGCAAAACTGTGAATCATAAAATTAAGGAAGTTGAAATGCCCTTCTGCTGCGACAGATAATCTTAAATGATAGCAACTAAAGTATGCTGTATTGGAATGCGTTTAAAAAACTAGTATTTTATGGACTGATAACCAACGTCTAAAGATCAACATTCATTGAAAATATTACTAAGTGATTTCGTAAAACCTGATGTCTTACAAGTCGAAAAGCAGAATACAATTTAGAATAGTGATTCCAATTGGTTAAACCATGTTTCTTTAGCATTGGTACAACATCCTATTCGCCACTCTCACGTCCGGTCCTAGGAAGATAGATTAGTAGTTAATGTGCTCTACTTCTAACTCTTAAGTTACAGGTAAAACTTCGTTCAACCTACTTTGGTTTTAGTATCGGGTAGCGTCATTAACCTTTAAATCTCGAGTGTGACTTAAAGCCAAGTATATAATTCTGTAATTGATAAGTGAATTGCTTTTTTTCCGTCGTAGAAATATTTTCCTATCGCTTGAATTACGACTGAAAACCATATTAAGATCAAGTTTATATATGAAGTTCGTGACGTCATTTGAGCTTATTTCATCGACTAAATACTGTTTCCAAATTCTAACCAACTGATAGCCGAAATATCAGTTTTTTTATAGCAATTGCCTGGAAGCTGCTGTCATTACATATTGATAAATACTAACAATAACGTGACATATTTTTCTTGCCATATCCCTTCAAACATCTGTCACATTGAACTAATTCATGATTATACAAAAAGTATTTATTAACATAGTATATACAATATATCAGTGTCTATTAAACATTTAATGTCGTCTATCACGATCTTTATCTCGGGTACGTTTATGATCTAAAATAAGTATTTAATAAATAGTTTTAATGATTACCTGGTGAACGACTATCATCACGTTTGGATCGACCATTTCGACGATCTCCAGAATGACTACGTCTATTAAGAAATGATTAAAAAATGGTAAGATCGAAAAGATACTCAGAAACATTTAGTATTGATGAATAGTTACATTAAAAACTAACTTTGCCTGATAATTTGTCATTATTATGTACGAAACAATACTTTTTGTCTGATAAGCCTTAATAGCTTGACTGATTCCCATCTTACTTAGCTAAATGAAGATAGGATGAGTTACATAAATGAAAGTATCTACCATGAAGGCTTATCCGATGATCAATCATGTGTGCCTACTCATGTTACGTCAATTTGGTGCTATTTCTCAAGATTGAATTTATTTTATTTGAACACATAAACATTAGTACAGAGAGGCACTAAGTAGATATGCGTCACACAATAACAATGGGGACGTGAAGAGATAGAGAAGGTAAAGTGTGTATAAGAAAAAGGAGAACAATAAAGAACAGAAATTAGTGTATGAGAGTAAAATAATAATAATAATGAGAGACAATTCAGTTAGCAAAAGTACAACCAGAAAGAATTCTTTTAGTTAAAGAAGTTACGTTAATTTTTTTTTGAAAAAAAGGAAAAGAAAGTTACAGCAGGATATCCACTGGCTTCTATTCTGAGCCATATCTGATAACTAATTGACATATCGTCTCTGTGCCCTAACACAGTTTGCTAAGCTTCTGCTTGCTAATTTAGTGTTGCCACTGGATGTCAGCAATCCTTCGGAGACAACGATGATCAAACACAGAGAGTCGTCTAACATCCTCAACTCAAAGACGCCAGGTCTCACAAGCATAGAGAAAAACTGCTCTTGCCAACGCGCTGTAGATCCGACCTTTTACAACCAGACTAACATCACGAAGGCTCTAAAGATAGCTCACATTGGTATAAGCCGCTCTGGCTTTCATTACACGCGAATCGATCTCATCGCTCACGCCACCATCAGCACTTATGCAGCTATCCAGATACACAGTCTTCGTTTATAGTCAAACTTGTGGTCACCCGGAGTAGACCAATGGGCTTCAATGAGCTGTAAGGAGCCTGAAGGAATTCAGTGCTTATAAGCGGAACGTTTCGCAAAGCCACAAGCCACTTTACTAAACATTCTCATGGCATCGTGCTATTGTAGCTAATGTTGTTCTATAATTTTCAGTGGGATGGTAGCTAGCCTCGAACCTAATTCGGTTTGATATTTAGTTGCAACAGAAGCTGAAACCAATTTGCTGATATCGATCCGTTTAGGACGATGAATTTGTTTACCAATGAAAAGTAAGGTGAGATTAGTGCGAACAAGAGTAGGTTTGATCAGAGTCCAGATATAAATAAATAATATATCTGTAATATCCCAATGAGTAGAAAATTAGATAGGCACTCCCAAAGAAGCGTCAATTTTGAACACAACCACGCCAGAGGTAGCTGATCGCAATGTGATCAATTTGATTCCAGGTTTGAGATGCCATCTAGCACATTGGCGATGACTGTGCCGGTAGTTAGTGCTAGATCGAAAAATGTTGTAGTCCGCGCACAGATGTAGTAGACGGTCATCATTATCTGACCTGCGACCAACAAGTCCCCGTTGGCCACCTAAACGACCCTCTTCTGTGCCTATACACACGACGTGAATATTCAAGTCTCTGGCTAGTAACACAATATCTGTCTAACACACTTTTGTAGAAGGACAATTAATTGGTGGTAAAACTCATCCTTGATCGCATCCGGGCTGCAACCTGTTGGAGCGTAGGTGGAAACGACAAAAAGACATCGTTTCCCACACCGATTTCTCGACATATTGATGAGGCTTTCTAATCTAAAAGCACATAACCGACTGTTAATGAGGTTACAATGGATCAGTGCTGCCTCAGCTCCAGCGCTTAGTGAGATACGAACTCCGGTAAAACCAGACGATGTCACAGGGTCCCCAGATAAACGCACGTTAAACAAGCTTTTCTAAGCAACAGATGGGAAGCGAATTTGTAGTACTTCACTAGAGTTTTGAATACGGGTCTCCGATAGACAACAGACACTGATATTGGGAATTTTTAAAGACATAGCCAACCCTATCTGTTGTCCGATCTGCATTAGTGTGAGAACGTTACAGGAAGCCAGTTTGAATGGCATACGTAGTTTCGGAAAGACTGTTTTAGTATTCGTAGTCTGTGGTAGCATTTAAGTTTCGACCAGTCAGTGACACGAGATTATTTAGATAGAACAGGCTTTCCATCATAGGCGAGCTGTTGTATAAGTTGAAAAATAAAATACGCAAAATGATAATTAAGAGGAACACATAAGTGACGTAGCATGAAAGAAATAAAAATGAGTGTCACCATGTGATTGAGAATAAGATTTGTCTGAGTGAGCATTGAAGCAAAAAAAATTTCTGAAATAGTAGTTATCAATGATTTGTGTGAAGGTTATGATACTGCCTGAACGCCCAATTCGAAGCAGATGGTTCCCTTAGAGGGCCATACTTTGAGCCTTTAACCTAGAGATCTAAATCACAAGGCAGTAGAGCAACGTTAAGAGATGCAGCACCATGGTAGCAAATGATCAACATTAGGTTCATATGCCATTTTCCCCCTAGGATCCTAAAGCCATTGCTTTGGAATCGGGGTTTTCCAGCTTCCCTAGGTAGATCCCCCGTGTCCACCAACCCGTCAAAGCGCCGGACATTCGCTTTTCGTCCTCTCAATTTCGTAAAAAACAACACTGAGAAAAAGCAGTGAGTAGGACTTCTTTGACCGTGGCTGGTCTAACTCAGATCGGTTCGGGATTTCAATGAAACTCAGCGATCGCCACAACCATATACTTACAATGATACCTAAGTCAATAAAAATTTAGAAGATAATGAAATGAACTGTCAACTTAGACATAAATCTGAAAACTGAATGCAAAATAACAATAGGAAAGAAACCAAACTTTAGTAAAAGTAACTGAGCGATAAATATTTCCTCAAATGCATAATTTAACGTCGCTCCTTCATAAGAGACTGAGCTGATGAACATTAATTTAACAATCCCACTTTTACCTATCCGACCGACAAAATTTAGACCGATATTAAAATTTTTACCAATAAAAACCCAAGTTGCGAATGAAACCACTAGAAAACTTTAACAATGCCATGATGCTACTACTGAAAATGTTGGCATCATCATTTAGACTGATATACTAACATAGAAATTACATCGTATGTCAATGACAATATTAATTTTAATCATTTTTACCTACCTATGAGCTTTCTCGCGATCATGTTTGCGTTCATTCTCTTCACGATCTTTATGTCTTGATGATATATGGTCTCTATCTCTTTCTCTGCGTTCAGCATGAGGAGACTCTTCACGATGTCTACGTCGATGATGGTGGTCTTTTCCATAATCTCGTCTCCTATGTTTTTCTTTATCCTTAGATTTATAACTCTCTTCAACATGATTCAAGGTGTCCAGCTCCTCAACATATTGTAAATCTTCTAAGTCTTCATTTAGAAGTGATTGTCGTGGTTCTAAACCATTTAGCTCCTCAAGAACTTCACGTTTTTGTAAACGAGGTAAAATAACATCACAGACACGTTCTTCAGTAAGAAGTTGATCAATAAAATCATCCATGTAAATTAAACTGAAATCTGTTACACACGGGAAAATTTTTCACCGTAACTTTTTGAGAAATGTAACCTACTTCCCATTTTATCTTGAAACTTAAGACGTCGAAAATCGTTATACAACGTCTCAAGATATTTGTATATTTCAACAGAATCACCAACTAGTCTAAGATAAAATGCTCCTAAAGCACGAGCGTACCTGGACAACATAAAAACATTTTTACGAACCACAAACTAACTTGTATGGTTCTTGTTTGATAAATTCGATAACAATATCTTTGTCAGGTTGAATTTGAAGCATTTTTAATGTAAGACATAGAAAAGGAGTTGGTTTAACACTTCCACTATACACACCACCAACATAACGAAGTTCCACAGCTTTATCGACAAGTAATTCAGCTTTAGATAAGAAAAAGTAAAAGATGAATTCAATATACCTGTAAGAGCAAAGCAATGCTCTTTCCAGAATTTTGATTCATAAATTCGACTTCGAACTATTTTCTCCAGAAGATACTGAGGATTTGTCCCATGAACTGTATGTGCATCTTTGACTGTGCGATTAGCCATGGTATCGAGTAATGATACGCAAACGATTACTAATAAAAGATACATTTAGTACTACTCAGTAAGTGTATAAACAAAAATATCAAGCTATCATCAATACTACTCAACTTTCCCAAAATTTATATCATTGGATTAAGTTTGAAATCGTGAATTTTCCGTTTGAACACATGTACGACGAGATCTATACAACTAACAATAATACATTTGATGACCTGGCTCCGTGTTTACACGTCAATGGTTGAAAACAAGAAGACTAAGGGGATCGTCATATACCACACCACATTAGCACAACGAACTGAAACTAGTAAGATGTGTACCAGAGGAGCAGATATGGTAATAGCACCAGTAGCAGTAGAGAAGATCGGGTATAGATATATGACTTCTCTTGGTTTGAGTGTTCTCTAGTTTAGCAACGATCAAACCCTCCTTCAGAAATGAAAAAAGCAAGGCAGCAATTTACGTTACTAAACATATGTGAAGCTAGATCTTTGTATCTACAAGTCAGGATCTATTTTTCGGTTTTATGAAAGTCCAGACACGTTCGAAACAACTTATTGGTGACCTTAAAGAATGGCAACCCCAAAGTAAAGAATGTAGGTGAGGAAAAACGTATCGGTACTTCTTGAGGATGATTTTACATCGACGCCAAGGAACCTAGATAAGGTCAATGGATTCTTAAACTACTTTTCCAACCTATTACCAATAAATTTACTGATATCTTAAAATATCCTTAACAAAACAACAACGAAAACCTTTCTAGTTGTAGTTTGAGTATGATGACCCTTTGGGATACTGTTAAATGTATTACGATCTACACCGGTTATCGAGGTAGTAATAAGCACATATTTATTCATGTTCTGTCACCCTTTATGGATCAGATACCTAGGGAGTATTACAACTGAGGATTTGATACCACTGCACACCGACAATTCGAAGCTGTTGAAGGTCTAAGACATTTTGGGTAATACCTAACATGTTCATATAAACGAAAATCGAGATAATTCTGTCTACAGAAGGATAGAATCATATATTTGTTTAATCTAACGGCTGATCAGCTTATATATATTCAGAACATTAGATCGGAAAAGAAATAAGGAGAGTTACGATGAACTCAAATGGATATAAGGAACGAACTACGACAAAACGAACACACTGAAAAAGAAACCAAAACTACCGCTCGAGTTTGTCTAGGTCTTCAAAACTCAAACCTAAAACTTTACATGATAGAATTAGCAAAGTATTTGTCCCTTAGAATCGATGTATATGTAGCAGAAGCGTTCTAGGTAATGAAAAGTTATGATTTTTGTTATTTTACTTTTGAAAATAAAGCGTAAAACAAGTTAGTTATTAATAGTGGAAGTAATTAAAATAAATATGAATGATCCTCCTTTGTACTTACAGAACTCAACTTCAAGTCAATACCTGTTTTGAAAAACTTTGGGGAAAGTTTTACTACTATGGCCTCTGCTAAAGAGATTCTGACCGCAGAAATATTTGTGAGGATTTTTGTGTTACCTCATCCGTGTTCTATCTTAAATAGATCTCTTCATCAGTTTAATTTAATGCCAAATTAGTCTGTTGATCTGCTAGAGAGAAAGAGATTTGAGTGGTATGATATTTCGTACTTATATACTCTTTAATATGTAATCCAGTTTACATGCATGGGGCTTACAAACGAGCCGTCCTAGTACCTTTCAGTTGCCCATGCTTTAACATGTTCCAACAGAGCGACTTTTTGAGGTAAGAAGGCATAGCACATATGGTGGTGTCTTGAATAAGAACTAAGAAGTCAGGCTACCTCAGTTCCAACACAAATCATAGAGCAGTATCCAGAAATTAGAGGTGCAATGCACCAAACTGGATTGTAGGTACACCTCCTAGTTTTAGTTAACAGTCACGCCCCCTAATTTTTCACCAGCTGAGATCGTCCAAGAAACTCCTAAGAAGTCATTTTATAAGGAACTTGAATTAATATTGGGGACTTAACACAGTATTTCATACTAATTTATCAATATTCTCATTTCATTTCTTAGATGTATCGACGTCTGTATCCAGAGTAATCAGTGATCCACTGCTACTAGACATTACCATTTGAATCTAACTTTCTGGAAGTAAACCCTAATACAGTATGATTTATTGACTACGGAAGATCAAGTGGAAGAGGCACCTAGAGTATCACAAAAAATGATACCCAAGTCCTTTACAGTGTTAGACATTGTGACACTGCTAACTTCCAGATAGCACGAGCTAGTTAAAGCATCACTTCTGTTCACCATTAGTATTCCGTACTTATTGAGAGTGAGGGGAAAATTCCTGGTGGTCTTGTCGCATATTCTGTACAAGTCTTTTATGTGAATCAAGATATCATCTAAGTCTTTTAAAATTTTGAGATCATCTACGTATGGTAGAGTCTGAAAATCTAATGAACCAGTTAAATTGCTAATAAATGATAAAGAGAGGAGTGATCTATTGACTTATTCTTAAAAGATTCCAATTGTCGCTAAGAATCGGTCAGATGGAAGAAAGTAAACTTAAGTGATCAGTGATCTCCCAATGGGCGATCTACGTGGTATTTGATCGAATATTTCATGATGGCCTCTATTTAGATTTTTGAATAGAAAATGTGATTCTCAACTTCATCAAGTGCTTCATAAAAGTTAAGGAAATCTGTACAAACAGGATGGTTGGGCCCCATTAATAGAGTCTCGTTATAACAGGCAGTCGGTAAGCTTGTGTTAAATGACCTTCCAGAGAGAAACCAGCGTTGTACATTTGGTTACAGTGGGACTCTTTCTGAGCTGTGCCTATAACATTATCACTTGCTGAGAATAGGGAAATCTGTCTGCGATTGTAGATTATGGACTTGCTACTCTGCTTGTCTGCTGCTACGATTATGACCTTGCCTATAGTATGATGGTAGCTTATTCCCAGTTGAAAACTGTACAAAGAGGTCAGCAAGAGGGAAGCAAATTAGAGCTGTATATTCCAATGGATGTGCATTGTCTGCCTTATTAAATGGTGCTAAAGCTTATGATTTTTATCCATAGACCACATTAAACAAGACTAATGATTTCTTTTATCGCATTTGACTTTCACAATGTATGTGTAATGTAACATCCTTTGGTATGAGCAGTCATTGAAGCAACGACATTTGTTCCAGGTAGCAGGTTTGTTCCCAATGTGTTTCCGCATTAAAAACCATATAGAAAGATTTGAGGGTATGAAGTGTTCAAAGGGCCATAACACAAATAAGTTTGCCAATTCTGATACATGGTTAGGGAATGTGTAGCCTAAGCTGTAGGGAATTTGATGTAGTCTTGTCAGATTATTGAGCTACATTTTCTGGAAGTGTGAATTCTTGCATCAAACCTTAGTATCAGTAATCAGTTTGAAACACTGACAGCACCCACTAATAAAATCACAGAGAAATTTGCTATCTCGGCTAACTTAATAGCCTGATAAACTAGATGTTTCAGGCAACCCGTAGTTGCAGGTGATCTATGGTGTACAATTACCACATAAATGCCTGATGTACTCTTCACACAGTAAAATTAGGCCTCCCGATGGCAAATTCAGGATGCTCTTGAAGGATACAAGTTATCATTGTTTTTCGAACGATGCGTTGAAGATTAGTTGATTTCTCAGAGCTGGCTCCTCAGTGTTATGGAATAGATCCAGATATTTAACCGAGCCCAATGCGATTGATTTAGTCAACCGGCGCCAGATAAATAAGGTATAGTTTTTTGAAAAGTATTTGTGTTCTTTCTGGTACTTTATAGCACTGTATGGTGTTGTCTGGGTCCAATTTATTCCGAGGCAGGCTTTTCAATTATTCTACATGCCCTAACCTTATTTGTTTCGATGAACGTACTTATGATTGACTATCGTCGAACGTTAAATTATCTGCATAAGTCAAAACACTGCTGGTTACTGTCTTATTTGATGAACCTTTGATCATATTAATGATTAACAATTCTCCATAGATTGCCAAACCGGATATGGGAAACTTAGCTATCTTAAATTAGTTAACCGGTACCCATCACGGACAGACCTCGATCAGATCACAGTCAAAAACTAAGAATCACTTTGAAGCTTAAATAGAGCATCAGTGTAGGCACTTTAATCACTAAACATGAAAGTGCACTAAAAATCTTATTCGCTCCTTACCATGGGAATCGTGCTTCACCAAAAATAACACTGACGCTGCGTTTTTCGACTCATACCGAAATTTGGCGTATTGTGTAGACTGTACTGCTCATTTAGAACTCAAACGGAGGCTAAATTACTTTTCAAATCCAAAAAAATCTGAGAAAATTAAAGTGCGGCTACCACAAGTGACATGAATTGTATATACTTCAGAATGTACTTAAGTTAATCGACTCAACGCAATTATTTTTTGAACGTGAAGATTAAAAAGTTAGTTAACAAAAACCAAAACTTATAGATAATTCGGTATTTTAAATCCAGTGTGAAAATGAATTCTCTTAATACAACCAGGCTCTTTGTAATTAACGGCAGAAATGAAGACGACCCCGACACTATTTGTGGACAATTTAACCGTCATTCTTCGTGATACCACAACACAGAAACCCAAACCTCTATCAAAACGTCTTGCATGTTGCCACCTAAACATCTTTGACAACTAGAATAATATCCCCCAACATCAACTGGGTTATAACCACATTGAAAAAGTTCGATGGTGGTAAACACGATAGGATTCGTGGATCATTCGTGAAGTACTGCCGCAGAGAACTACCATTTTTCCGTTTGAAACTGTTAAACCTGTCCACGAACTATGAAGCCTATACATCTGCATGGAAAACATTAGTTGTCATCTCTAGATTCAGTGCGGATTCACGTGGCGATATTGTTAACTATAGGCCCATTAACTTGACATCCGTGCTATGAAGAATCATGTAAAAAATCATCAACAAAAACTGCTATCATTTTCACTTTCGGCAAGCCTGATTAGTCCTTATGAAAGTGAGTTAATGACTAGGCACTCATGATCCACAAAAAGCCTGGAATTTGTTGATCAAATTACAAAGCGAAGGGAGGTTGGTCAATCAATCATATTCGATACTTCGATTTTGGTGAGTCTTTGGAATCATAGTCTACTAGTGATATTAGTACTGCTCTAATAATAGACCTGATGCTAAAATGATAGATTGCTCATGATGTAACTGCCTAATCTATAAGATTTTACGTGGAACTCACATCATTGTCTACACTAACTCATCGTATCGCAACAATCACCAATATAGGATGGGGAATACATCAGGCTGAAGATAGAACAATATATTTAATATGAGTAAAAAATATTAGATAACACTCAACAGGGACCACGCCTGCAAGGCCGAGCTGTGCCATTCGACCAACTCGAATTAATTCAACTCCTTGTTCCCGGCATCTGCATCGTTGGGTTTTTCTACGCATTAAATGTTGAACATCTATTTTCTCAAGTGTCCCCCGTTCAGATTTGAGAATTGCCAAAGGACGCTACAAGTCTCATACAACTTCCTAGAATTTTCCACATTTAGCAAAAGGAGTCCCTTATTGTTCTGATCAAAATCTTTTTTAACAGAATGCAGTCTAATCGTTCTCTTTGGATACTGCTACTCCAAACCCATGAATGTTACCGGTGAGGTTACACAAGGAAGTGTGACTAGTTCGTTGCTTTTTCATCTTTATTGGTGACATGTGCTCTCGCTTTCAATACGGTACACCTTTCCCTTATCCTGATGACCTAAACATGGTTTATTCATCCTCGTCTCCTGACTACAAAAGCTATATCTCAGAGGTAATCTAGGAACATATAAACAAACTGTACAACCAAGCTGTGGAACTTGTCTCTGACGTAGTCATTCTGTATAATTTGACTTTACTTACTTACTTACTTACGCCTGTTACTCCCAATGGAGCATAGGCCGCCGACCAGCATTCTCCAACCCACTCTGTCCTGGGCCTTCTTTTCAAGTTCCATCCAATTCTTGTTCATTTTTCTCATATCTATCTCCATTTCTCGGCGTAATGTATTCTTTGGTCTTCCTCTCTTCCTTCGACCTTGAGGGTTCCATATGAGGGCTTGTCTTGTGACGCAGTTCGGTGCTTTCCTCAATGTGTGTCCTATCCACTTCCAGCGCTTCTTCCTGATTTCTTCCTCCGCTGGGATCTGATTT